AGAAAGAGAAGTTTATTGTAAAAGAATACACTACTGAAAGGCAGGGAATCGATTAGCAGGCTAGTAATTCTTGAAACAAGTCCCCAGGTATATCCTGTGCTCATTATTTTATATATATATATATATATATATATATATATATATATATATATAGAGAGAGAGAGAGAGAGAGAGAGAGTCAGTCCACATATATTATAGGAAAATTAGCTCAGGAGAAGGTGTTGTAATGGAATGTCCGACACTCCCTATGAAATTTTGCTCAATATCCCTTCTTTTTGGGGTCAGGACATAGTTGTTTGACTTTTTTCCTCTTCCTAGTACTTCTTCATCTCACCATTATTTAAAACCTTTATTTTTGTATACTGACAGTGGATGATAGAAGATTAAATTTTGTAACCAGCGGATGATAGAGGATTAAATAAGCTGTGTTTTACACGTATGTCGATGTGTCTGCCATTGCTGTTGTCCTCCCAGACCAAACTCGCCGATCAAGGCCGATAACTAATAGATATAACTGTATGGGGTTGACTTCACCATAGCAGATAATATTAACACTTTCCCTACAAGGAAACATTTGGCATTCATTGTCAGAGCAGCCTGTATTGTTTTCAGTTAAAATTCAAAAAAAAATCTCTTAAAACACTTTATGAAAACAGGTTTCTCAAGTCTAGTAGCTATTATGCTCTCTCCAGTATTGATAGAGGTTTTCTTCCTAGCCTTCTATTCAAAGTGGTGTAGAATATTTAAAAGATGCCTTCAGAAAAAAAGTAAAGTTGAAATGAGGAAAGAAAAGTGTTCCAAACTGCTATCCTCCTCTATGGCTAATCAGTACTGGACAATTTCTTTGCAGATGAGTTTCAGAGATATGATTCTATAGGAAGAGGATGAGAATACTATGGACAGGACATATGAGCAATGAGGAAGTTCTAAAGACAATGGAAGCTAGAAAGTCACTTATACTTAAGATCAGAAAGAGAGCTGAAATTTCTGGGAAACCTGAGAAAAGACTGCTTGGAAAGCTTAATACTCACTGGGTGTATTAATGGAATGAGAGGAAAAGGGAAACAATGATCAGCTTAGCAAATAAGTTTGTGTGAGTGGATTCTAGGAGTAAGGCAAGGAGGGATAGAAAAGAGTCAGACAATGATTAGAGTGACAAGGGATAGGAACATGTCGAGAACTATGATCTTCATGACATGTCAAAAATGATGATCTCCATGACATGTCAAAAATGATGATCAATAAAACACACACTTTATTATCAACTCCACCTTCAAGATTTCAAAGTGCTTTTTCGCCCACACAGAAAAATTTGTTTGCTATAGCTTCAGTTTAGTTTAAGTATAAAGGACTTTTAAGTAAAATGTGAACAAGAAAGACAGACAATCAGAAAGAGTCACTTGAAATTGTGGAAAGAGAGGTTGGAGAATTTGATACTCACAGGGCATACTGACCAATTTGACTGTTTTCTAAGCTTAACCATCTGTAGATTATTTAAAGCCAGAAAATATTTTTAGATTGTAAGAATTTTTTTTTTTTTAGATTATAATAATTTAGGGATATAAGTCTTACTAATTAACCCATATCTGGGAGAGAAGAGGTAGATTCACACCTTTCTCAGGAGTATTTGTGCATGAGTGAATATAAAAAAATCTAACAGGAATTGGAACTGCTCTCCAATTAACAATTCAGAGCCAATATCCTTTACACTGCCTGCACATCCATGTTTACACAACTGGTGTTCCCAAGCAGTCACCCATCTAGGTACTGATCAGGCTCGACATCGCTTAACTTTTATGATCATACAGGAACCAATGTTTCAATGTGATGGGGCTTTAAGCCTAGGACATACTGATGTCAATAGGGAAACATCAAGTAAATTACCAAATAAGCTTTGTAAATGGATGACAGTAAATGGATTTATAGAGATAGTAAGGTAACAAACGTTACTTAAAGCTACAAGCAATAGGAAGTTGTGGAGAGCCATGATCACCCATGTAAAGCACTTGCATAAATGGATGGTAAGACAAGAACCAGAAGTTATCGTAAAAATATTGCCGACTAGCTTAAAAGCCGCCCTACTGGGTGACATTTAAGTTAGTTTTTTTACAAAGGGCTCTTGAGCTTTCATCAGAATAGATAGGGAGGAGTATATGCGAAAGGCAACAATGAACTAAAGAACTCAAAATTGATTGCTGCATTTAAGGATTGCATTAACATTTAAGCTTACATTTCCAAAGTTCCATGATAATTCTTCTGTCGCCACTTAATTTGAAGACAATTTGATGTGTGTAGGTCCTTTCTGTACAAACAACTAATTTTTATTTCATGAGTGACTTTCGGTGGATTTTGCAATTAATTTCAATTATTCCCAAATTTATTTCCAAGTTATAAAAACTTATCGTACAAAAAAAAAAAAAAAAAAAAAATTATATATATATCTCACTGAAAACAACCGCAGTAATGAAAGCTTGGGAATCCAAAATTTCAGGATTGCAGGTCTGGATCCAACCCAGGATGTTTTTAATTTGCACACTGAGTCTGCCTGATTCCAAAATGGTATGATATGTTGGGCTACGGCCACAAGGAGTAAAGTTGACAAAGTGTTACAGTGACAGACTGACATTTGCATTTATTATATGGAAGAGATAAAGAATAGGAAGTTGTGGAGAGCTATGTTAACCTATGTAAAAAGTTTGCATAAATGGATGGCAGGACAAGGACAGAAAGAGATAGTAAAGAGACAGATATTGCCTAAGAGTTAAAAAAGGATAGGAAGTTGTGGAGAGTCAGGATCACCTATGTAAGGAACTTGCATAAATGGAATAGTGTTATTTCCTTTTTTGGTCAATTGTTAAATGGGAATTAAGTTTAGACATCTAATGATTTTTTTCTTTTTCTTTCAGATTTAACAACTTATGTCTTTAACCAGACACATGGCACAGTGGATAAAGGCGTTGGTTAGATCCAGTGACAGGATCCAAAGAGTGCGAGTTCAATACCTGCTTAAGGCATTGGAGAATTTGGAGAGGGGAATGAACAGGAGGTAACTGATAATTGACATCCATTAAACATGGCACGTGGAACTAGAACAGTCTACCCCAGTGAGCAAAATAAAGGGTTCAGTTCGACATTCCAACCACCTGAAGAAGGCCGGAGTGTACAACGGCCGAAATGTTGTAATAAATATGGTGACAAAAATGAGGAAAATAGTCTGAATAATGTAAATTCGGTACTCCAAAAACTTTAAAATTTAATCAATTCACTTTATAATGCCCTAGCAGCATGGCCCGGCGTTGCCCGTGCTTGATTCAAAAATCGCACAACTAATATAGTAATTGCTATCACTTGACTTAAAATATTTTTGCCCTTCCTTGCCTTTAAAGGTATGCCCTTTGCCGTGCTGATGTTGCTACATGCCTTACTTCTTGCCTATCTCACACTGCAAATTTTTTTCTAACCTCTATACTAATCATTAAATCTGTTACGAAAAAAGAACTAAACAAAATGAACACAAAACGATCAGCTTTAAAAAAGGACTCGTAACTGGAAAAACCGAATGAAAAATGAATGTTAACAACAAATACTTTCTCACACCCAACCCAGTTCTGCGGAATCAGAATCAACGTTGAGTTTAAGCAAGTGAATGTGTCATTTGGAGTAAAATGCCATGCAGATTTAAATTTTTCCCCACTTGTGACGAATGCAGCCTCGACTTTTTTTGCATGCTAGCATGCTAGTTAACATTCATGTCAGTCAGCTGTTGGCTCTCACACTGGCTAATAGAATCTTCCTGCCTATTTGTGGCAGCCAGCCATAGGCTCTCACTTTGGCCAGTAGAAAATGGCCGCAAACTACGTGAAAACTGCTGTAGAAGCATGAAAAAAAATCGATTATTTCCACTATCGATGGGAGTTGGGAAATGCAAAGTCAGTCTTGGCCTTCCCGCTAACTTGGAGCATGTGCATGTAAATTTTGGTGTAAATCCGTTGAAAATTGCGGCTGTGCATGCGTTACACACATATCCTGCCTTTTATAGATAGAGATTACGACAGTTATAAATGCAATAAAACTACTTTTAATTCTTGATTTTACATTAAGATGCATTATTCAAGAAATAATTACACAACAATTTGCAAACATAACAAATCTTTTGATTTGTAGAGCTATGGATAACATACAGTCTATATTTCTAATTAAAATTCATTATCATTGTGGTGATAATAAATCAGAGTTTATTTTACATCAAATAAAACAAACAATGCTCCCCAGAATACATCAGTGCAGATTTATAGAAAAAAAACTGGTGAAACATCCAAACATTTAAAGAAAAGGAAAAAATATGAACACAAAACGGACTTCAGTCGTACTTCAATATGTACTCCATGTACTTGTGTGGCACTAAAACCTTGATCACAATTTTTTTTACCTGGAAAACACTACTTTCATAAAAAGTGGGTCTAATGTACTTAAAGATGCACAGAAAGTGACACGATCTATAAGTCCTCTACTGTTAATATACAACTGGGATATTACAATTTCTAATTCTTCTTACTAAATTAATATTGAAAATGCAGGATATTAAAAGAAAAAGAAAAAAAAAAGAAAAAGAAAAAAAAAAAAAAAAAAGAAAAAGAAAAAAAAAGAAAAAAAAAAGAAAAAGAAAAAGAACCTTGAAAAAATAAATAAAAATGAAATAAATAAAAATAAAAAACAGAGTTGAAATTATTTGATTGATTTGTTTTCTATGGATTATCAACCCTTGGTAGGTTATTTAAAGCCAGAAAACATTTTTATATTGTGAGAATTTTTTTGGGAGATTATGGTTTACAGATACAAATTTTACTAATTAATCCATAGCTAGGGGGAGAATGTAGATTCATATCTCTCCCAAGGGTATTTGTGCATAAATGAATATAACAAACCCATATTAAATTGGAACTTGGCTCTCATATTTCTAATTCAGAGCCATTATCCATTACACCATCTGCACATCCAAGCTTACAGCACCTGGTAATTCCCAAGCAGTCACCAATCTAGGTACTGATCAGGCTTGACATTGCTTAACTTCAGTGATCATTATGGGATTGTAAGCCAGATTTGAAATTAGTAAAAATCTCAGTATCAGTTAAATTAAAAGCCAAGCAATCAGCTGTTTAATGCAGACAACATTTTTATTGACTAATGTAGGTTTTTGGTACAAAATAAAATCTTTTTTCTGACTACACCAGTTCATTTATTTATTTATTTTTTTAACTATTGTTCACTGAATATAAGACCAACTCAAGGTTACTAAATGAGATTCTTTTAAGGGCGTACAACAAGGGAGTCCAAGGTGTAGATTATGAGGATATGTCGAATAAGTAATGATGAACTCATTGTACCTTCTTAGGCCATCTTTTTTCGGTTGGCATGAAGTGGAATGCTTATATTGAATCAACTGCAGGGTCTACTGCCAGAAAAGTTGGTTTACTGTATCATGCTAGACAATTTTTCTCTCCTGAATCTACCTTACACATTTATAAGACTACCATATTAGCAGTGCTACCACATCTGGTCTGTTACTTCTATATATTTGGAGATTCTTGATAAAATCCAAAGAATCTGCCATGTTATTGGTTCTGGCCTATGTTTCATAACAATGCTCATATTGCACCTGTGGTGCACAGATGTACAATTAATCATGGGGTTGGAATTGGAACAATTTTCTTTCTTTAAATGACATTCCCACTGACGAAACATTGCAACCCTCTTGCTACTCTGTCGCTATTTCTATGGAGAGTGTTCAGACAAACTACATTCCTTAGTTCCACCAGTTTTAATGTTTACAGCTAAGACCCACCATGCCACTCACACTGTAGCAAACCATCCTCATTCTCTGCATATTCCATTGTTGAGATGGAAGTCCCACTTGAGCAACTTTTTCCTATGAACCGCTGCTTTGTAAGACAAACATTAGTTACTTTCTCACTGCTGTAACAGCTTCCCTATGCCTTTTCTATAAATATTTTCATGGCAATTGTTCTGATGAGCTTTCCTCATTGGTACCTAGACTTTATAAATTTAAATTCAGTACTAAATTGGCAGTTAGGTCTCATCATTTTATAATTGAAATGGCAAGATGTAACCATAAGTTCTCTGCTAACAGTTTCTTTTACATTTCTCGCCTCTTTCTTTCCAGTCAACTTTGATCTTCAAAAATGTAAATACAATGTCAATCATTATCTTTCATCTTAATTCCCGTTTTTTTTTTATCCTTCTCACTTAAAAGTTTTTCTTTTATTCTTTCTCACTCTTGTTGCATCTTAGTGGCTTTATTGCTTTGTTTCGGGTGAAATGATAAAGAAAAAAAAATAATTGATTGTTGTGATCAGGGAAGCATCCACACAGTAGTCTGTTCCACAAAGTAGCAGTTCTTGGGAAGAAGCTGGGCGAGTGGAACTTCCTCCTTACTAATGAAATATGAAGGGAATGTGGATGAGTCAACCCTGTGTACATGGTATGGTAGATCCATGATTGAAGTCTTCAACAGTAGAAATTCTTTAAATTGTCTCATATAGGTTTACTATATTTGAATGCCTAAAAATATCATCCAGGAGCTTAGGATGCACTGGGCAATCATCTAAATGCAAAAGTAACAGTTACACTTTACTTTTCTTAATTAGCTTCTACTACTTAACCCTGTTTTTCAATAAAACTGGCATCAATTTCAGACCACTGAAAAATCAATTTCCTGACAGACTGATGCAAAAACATTTTACTCGCCTATTTCTTATCACATGCTGAACCAAAGTAATCCTTATTGTAATCAAATGTAGGAATGGTATAACTGATACAACAAAAATTTCATCTTGAGTAAAAAGAAAACAAACAACTTTGGCTTGGTTAAATATTAATTTGCCTTCTTCATGGGAAATAGAAAGAAAATGAAAAATGAAAGAATCAATCCGGAATCTTCAGTTTCACTGCTGGAGCATTATTGATCAACCACAAAGTTATACTGGTGAGTATCGATTCAAAGACAAAATCTAAACATATATTTCTTAGAAATTAAAACATTTCATTTTCAGGCAATTATTTTTATTTGTTTTTAAGATAGTAACTAAGAAACTGAGGCACCTTGAAGTACCCTGGTGGTGGCGAACAACTCTACCAGACACATGAGTTGACAACTGGGCTTGTTTCAAGCTCAGAAAGGCATAAGAAGAATCAAGATCAACATATAAACCTATCCTGTAGCTGGTTTTTGTACGTTATGTTTTTGACATGTTTATTTGTCTGTTTTTAAAGGAGACACTTTTAGTAAAACATATCTATCCTGGAGAAGGGGGTTAAAAGAAAAGAGATGCACAAAAGTTCTTTGTCCAAGGTTGCATTCTCAATAACCCTCATCACTTAAGACCCATAAATTGTCTTGCACTTGTGACAAGCCTCACTAAGTTTACATCTCCTGGTCGTTTACCTAACCACTGAGCTATATCTACAAGTGCTTTGTCATAGCAAAATCTCCTGCTGTTTTTAATTTCACAGTTCTGTATTTGTATGCCACACTCGAGAGGAAAAAAAAAAATTACAGGCAAAAATAGATGCATGCCATTAAATGAAAGGTCCTCATGAGGCAGGCGAAAAGTGAATCCCATATTTTCCTGGAGATGCAATTTTTAGCTTCTAAGGTGAGGGAGGCACATAAGATTCAGGCTCAGGATTCAGCCCTTAGATAAATCTTACGAGTTGCCTTGAAAACAAGCATAAAGAGGCAAATAATTTTTTTGCTGATTTAACACTAAAAATGACAAACACTTTCAGATAAATAAAATGTAACAATAAAGAATAGACAAAAAAAAAAAAAAGACTATGAAATGAGAGAATATGACATACAAACTATCAGACTAAACGGTGGTAAACAAATGAGAAAATGGACACCCCTCAACCGAGAAAGACGTCACTATGTTACAACTTCAGATACAGAAGACAGACAAAATGTGCAAGAGGACATTTTATCTATTTTGTCATTCAATTAGCCATACTATGAAATTTATTTACAGAATGTGACAAAAAATTTCTAATAATGAACAACATTCTTATTTTCTGACGTCTTTCAGTATCACAAATGAGTAATAATTAGGAAGTCCTGTTCTGTCCTATTCAAGGAAAAATTTTATATGAAAGGAACGCAAGTCATCAAGTACACAATCTTTTGCAGGACACACAAAAGAATGAAAAAATTAAAATGAGAATCCAAAATTCAGAACAGAATTTATACAATTCCTAATTTTAGCCAATTCAAAAAGTTTCCAGTATTTTTATTGATTTATTTATTTTTTTTATATATAAAGAAATTATTTATATAAATTCATGGCATCATAATTAAGTCATCAAAGTATTTTCCGAGATTTTTCTGACCCTTTTTCACTTTTGGAAAAGTTAAAAAAAAACAAATTTTTTTTTTTCCTTGTTTTCAACTTGGAACTGCTGGCCTGATAAGGAAATTTCAAAGAGTGAAAACAGGTCTTGAAGGTGACAAGTCAAGAGAATTTTTTTTGATTTTTTAACAATGATGTTCAATTAATCAGTTTTTATATTGTCTGATGTTAGCGCCAGTAAGTTTATGTACAACCCATTTTCAGAGTTTCAGAATTTTCCTGAAACTTGCAACAGTTACCCAACTACACAAGCAATAAAAAGCCAAAGACACTTCAAAGAATTCCCTTATCTTATGTGAAATCTTATGTCAATTGGAAACTTTCACATCAATCTAGTCCAAAGATAAAAAAAAAAATTAAAATACTAAAAATAGTTGTTTGACAATTCTCTTAAAAATCTTGGATATTTTTTTTTTTTTTGCTGTATTGCAAATAAAAAGCAATTGGGTATCTGGTGCTGGCATTTCTTGATTGGTACTTCAAAACTGACAATGATAGAAATGCCTTTATTTTTTTTTTACATTATTTACATGCAGACTGTTGTCCTTATCTTTGTTGCCATTATCACAATATTTCAGCTGTTGTGTTTTTCAGCCTTCTTTAGGTAATTGAAATTCAAACTAAACACTTTATTTAATCTATGGGTGGGGGGGCAGATCATTCTCATTTTACTGACCCTGTCTAAGGAATATCTCATCTAGCTCTTATTTAGTACTGCTCAGTTATGCTGATCAATAAACACCTGATGAAGGTTGGAGCATACAACAGTCAAAATGTTGTGATAAAGATGAGGTCAACAGTCCGCATGTAAATAAGGATAACGTATCTCAGAAATTTAGAAAGAAAGTGTGTTCATCTTGGAGACGTAAGAGAAAGGTCAGCAAAGTCAGATTATGACGGAATCATTCTTATCTCTCTGCACAGATAGCAATATGGTAAATATAGAAAGAAAAAATATATATATATATATATATATATATATATATATATATATATATATATGTGTGTGTGTGTGAAAAGTGTAAATAAATATAAATAAATATATATATGTATAATTATTTATATATTATATATGAAACTTATTAGAAAGCGCTCAATATCAGAGATTGACCTAACATATTTGGTTGGATAGAGGTGAGTTTGTGACCCTGGGTTTCAAAAAGAAAAACGAGAAAAAGAAAAAGAAAACAAAAGAAAAGAAAGAAGAAAAACAAAAAGAAAACAAAAGAAAAAGAAAAAAAGAAAAAGGAAAAAAAAAAAGAAAAAGAAAAAAAAGAAAAGAGCAAGAAAAAAAAAGAAAAAAAAAGAAAAAAAAAAAAAAAGAAAAAAGAAAAAAGAAAAAAGAAAAAAAAAAAGAAAAAAAAGAAAGAAAAAAGAAAAAAAAAAAAAGAAAAAAGAAAAAGAAAAGAAAAATAAAAAAAAAAAAAAAAAAAAGAAAAAAGAAAAAAAAAAAAAAAAAAAAGAAAGAAGAAAAAGAAGAAGAAAAAGAAAGAAGAAAAAGAAAAAGAAAGAAGAAAAAAAAGAAAAAAGAAAAAAGAAAGAAAAAAGAAAGAAAGAGAAAAAAGAAAGAAGAAAGAAAAAGAAAAAAGAAAAAAGAAAAAAAAGAAAAAAGAAAAAAAAGAAAAAGAAGAAAAAAGAAAAAGAAAAAAGGAAAAAGAAGAAAAA